AAAGAGGTGAATGGCCTTATCTCTTTACATCTAGAACACGTTTTTCCCAATGAAACGAAGCTATCACATTCGTACAGTTGCACTATTATTTAATGACATAAGGAAGAAAATCGACTATGTTGTTTGCGTTGTTTCGCGGTCCCTGAGGTCAACGATGCGTAGTATTTATGACATGGACATGCTTCAGAGTTGATCCTTCGCATTTCTCACGTGTAGACAGTTTAGAGAATTTACAACCGAGTCTTCCATAAATCTCAGTTTGTTCCGAGTGCGAAGAATTTCTTTTCCACACAATAGTAATTACCGTGTCGTAAACCAAGTGCTCGCCAGAAGTGCAAACGACGGAATGGTTTCCAGAAGATGATAGGATCGTTTCCCATACCTGCCACCTCAGTCTCGAAGAGTAGTAACGAAAAATTCTGGAGATCTCCCTCGTATTTCCTGATTGGTTTTAATCACTGCACGACTTAACCCTCTTTCTAAAGAATCCTTTAGAAGGACAGACAAAGATCTCCTTATAAGACAATTCTGAGGAGAACAGTCATTCAGTTGACTGAGTAAGCAGTAAATTTTTAGTTAGGGACTCGAGTCAATAGTCACTTAGTCAAATTAGTGCTCAATTAGTTAATCAATGTTATTCTAACGATCAATTAGTTAGCATTTAGCATTCAAATCAATGATTACTCGGTCAAATCAGTCAGAGACAAGTTATTCAGTCGGATTCTGCCGTCTTCAGCTTAATTATCCAGACAGAAGTAGCTGTCTGAATTAAGTAGAAGCAATCAGGATTCTTGAGTAATAAATCTATCGTCAACAAGTCAAGTCGTCAATGAGTTATTTATTCTCAAAAGTGTTGGGCAACGATATGCCTCTTCTATGTGTCATTTGAGTAAAGTGAATGGACTGATTCTACATGGAGTTTGTTTGAAAACTTGCCAGAATAATTTTACATCATATACTTTACACACGTAAACAAATTTATTTATTCCTCCCTTAACGATAACAAATTTTAATTTTATCAAAATTAATATTGATATATATTAGAGACCAGTACGAGACCTTTGATAAAATTAATTGTAAATAACCTATATTTCTTAAGCAATTGTAAAAAAAAAAAAAATTTGAAATTCATACCGTGTTACTGTTTTCTGAATTTCAGAATTTGATTAAATTTGGTTTCTTTTTACAGGAAATTTAAATTTTTTTTTTTGAAAAATTAACTTATATTTAATTATATAATATTAGAATTTATATTTTTCCTTCGTATCAATCGTTTAATCAGCAAGAATTCATTTAATTAAAAGTTGACTAAAAGATTAAAAAAATAAAAGGAGTTTACATACGAAGTTTTACTGTAGATAAAAGTCTGAAGATGCTAAATCCAGCGAATATCGACGAGTGCGAAGTATCGAAATGTTTTTGGTCAAAAATTGGCTCATTTGAAATACTCGAAGTAAAGAATTTGCTTCTAGCATAAAACAATTATTCCGAGTCATATCTAAAGCAAAACAGACTCAGACGATAGTATTAATTTATGTGAATATACTAAATTGTTTAAAATTGTGACCAACTAAAAAATTGGTATATAATTCCGAAAACTTTTTAGATAAACCAAATTCAATAGGGTATTGTCAAGTTATTTCATGATCAGTTAACGTAAAATAGTTGGAATAATGAAGTTATGGATAGTCGCCAAGGCTACCACGTGTTTTATGCTGAGATTCACGCGAAATGAAACTCGAAAGTTCACCTGTGTGCCTTTCGGAGGCCTCATTTTGCGCGGACCGAGACAACCGTCGACAGAGTCCGTGCTTTCGAAGTATCTTTTATCGAGAATGCAATCCATACCACGGAGAAAATCTGTCGGCGGCCCACTCGTTCGAGATTTCTCGTGTCCCGGCGATTAACGAAACGCAGAATTTCAAATGCCACTGATTACGCGACTGTTTGACATGCATTTCGCGATTTTCTTTCACCCGATCCGGCCATTCGAACACGCTTTCCTTCAGAAATAACAATTGCAAAACGCATTGCTTCACTGGCGCGCGGTTATGTAAACAAATTGTGTCTCATCTTCGAGATATCTCCTCTAACAATTCGTTTCTTACTTCACTTCGTCCAAATCGAACCTCTCCTACATCTTTGACATTTCTCGACACACGCGATTGAGTTATTCTGTATACACATCTTTGAACTGAGCCACCAATTATTTACCGTCGTGTCGCAATTTGGGAGAACCTCTGGTCTCTGCTTGTATTTACACTCGCTAGTCCGTGATAGATTTGCGAGGAAGCGATTTAGGCGATCGTAGATTAAATCGCGCAGCCTTGCTGAATCTGTTTACCACTGTCTATCGTAAATAATGTCTTCGAGGAACTACATGTTATCGAGGAATTTCCATTAAATACGTATACCTCGTGGCAGTAAATCTTCTTCAAACGAGGCAGCTTACAGGTTAGTTCGCCGCTACTCTTTTCCATTTTCTTTTTTTTGGATCGACGACTCCGCATTCCGTCAGAGGCACGAACTATTAACAATTGCGAAACAAACGATACGAAAGCGACTTCCACGACGAAAAAAAGACAAAAAAAAAAAAAAAAAAGAAAAGACAAAACGAGTCCATCGGCGACATAGAATTTCCACGACGGGTTCTACTTGAGGGCAGATGAATTTCGCAAAGCAGATTATGTTGCACGTCACGAAACGTCGCTGCGATACTCGACTATCGTGAGTAGTTGCTCGCGTACGACAGTTACGTGTGTATGTACATACGACATTCTCGTTCCACGAGGCTCGAGCTAACGGCTCACGGAAGGTTACAATTACCCCCGGGCAATAGCTGTTCCACGTGAGATAAAGGGAACGATGCTGTCTCCGGACCAGCTGAATTAATCGAGGAAAATTAGCTGGATCCCCGTGACTGTGGATCCGGACTAGCGACCGTGCTTTCCAAGAGAAAGGTGTTAAAACGTAGACGTTCGCATTCGTCGTCGAACGACGCCGGTGGAAACGCAGTAACGAGGGTAGTCGACACAGTCATAAATTTCTATGACAGCATGGAAAGTGGCTACGGCCATCGGGGACCGTACTTTTTTCTGTAGATTATCGATACGCGCTAAAACACGAATGGAACGAGGCGGAATAATTAATTTCCAAGCGACTGCTACGCTTCGAGAGAGTTTCTCCCCGATGTGTAGTGTCCGGTAACGTTTTACTAGGACGTTGGTGGACTAGGTGGTTGGTGTAGCGTAGCATGCGATAACAGATAAGATGTACCATCTGCTGGAAACTATCAGTCATCGGAAAGAGCCGTAATCAGTCGTTGCCGCTTCTTATCTCTCGCTACGATACAATTCCAAATTTTACAAAGAAACGGAAGATACGTTCTCGTCGTGTCGTGCTTACTAGAACTAACGTTTATCAATTCTGGTATGAGATCGCGAACATATGTATGCACACGCACGACGTACGTACACCTGCCAGCGATAACTCGCCGGCAGAAATTACCGGCATTCCTTATTTTTCCACGGCGCGGCGATAAGAAATTTGACAGTACGAGATAAGAGGGACTACGTTGACTTGACCTCGTTGTCGGCTCGAGCCTCTTCGGCTCATCGGGCAAGAGGCAGTCGCGCTGGCGCTGCTGCGCTTGTGCTTTCGACGTGCAAAAGCGAATTTCGCGAGTAATTACGCTTTGGATTGCGATCGGGATCCTGCTACGGTCTTACTTTCGATTTTTTCCTTCTACACTACACTGCCTCCCCGTAGGACAAATAAAGAGTTATTGTTGAATTCGCGGCATGTCGATCGCCGGTCAACACGAGGAAATCGAGTCCTGCCCGGAACCCGGCCTGGACACTTGGAAATCGAGATTCTTCCCAGTGAGTGATCGTCGAGTGAACTTACGCGAGAATAATCGAACAAATTCGCGATCGCATCGGATTATTTTGCGATATTTTTCGAAAGAGACGTTACAATTATCGAGGAGGGTGCAATGAACCTTTTCGTAACGCGAATGACAAATCAGACATTGTTACGACACTGTCGTACAAGAGCTGCGACACATTCCGTAACGAGTTGCCCTACCTGTTCCTTTTGAAACGTTCGGTAACGTGAGAATTCGTATTGGACAAACGCAAGTGAAAGGAAATGGTTTTTCCTTCGAGAAAGATGCGTTTCTGACAGACATGCGATTTTTAGAAACATTTCCTTCCTCGAAAATTTACTTCGTGATGTGCATATTTATTTCGTAACGTGCAATGAAACGCACTTCTGCCCCGAATACTTAACCTAAACTGACATAAAGATATTCCAAATCTTAAAAATATCACGTATATTTTTAAAACGTTCGATAACGCGAGAGTTCATATTAGACAAATGGTTTTTCCTTCGACAAAGACGCGTCTCTGATAGATTTGTGATTTTTCCAAAAAATTTCCTTCCTCGAAAATTTACTTCGTGATGTGCATATTTATTTCGTAACGTGCAATGAAACGCACTTCCGCTCCGAATACTTAACCTAAACTGACATAAAGATATTCCAAATCTTAAAAATATCACGTATATTTTTGAAACGTTCGGTAACGCNGAGAGTTCATATTAGACAAGTGGTTTTTCCTTCGACAAAGATGCGTCTCTGGTAGATTTGTGATTTTTCCAAAAAATTTCCTTCCTCGAATGCCGATTGACGAATTTAACCTCTTGCGCTGAAATGACGTGCCACGCACGTCGAGAATGTTCCCAACATTGCAACATTTTCTCAGTTTTAAGTATATTGTAATGTAACCCAGACAAAACAAATTATAAGTTTATTGCTTCTTGATAATTTTTATCCTGTGATATCATATCGACGAGTTCAAAAAAGACAAAAAGCGACAAATTGTTGTATACGGTTCGGTCACTCGTTATGGTCCGCGAATCAGTTGCCAGCGCAAGAGGTTAAGATCGTGAGGGACTGTCAGCGACTCGGTCAAGTGATCAGAATGTTTCCTGATTTGCAGAGGATACCGAGCTGTCCAGTGAAGAGTCCACAACCGTTGAAGGAATTCGTGGGTCGCTGCCAGACGATGCCATCGCGGGTGAAAAAGTCTTTCTGCGGTTGCCTTCAGGTAAGAACGAGGATTGCTTCGATTAGAGACTCTATTCGAGCAAACAAGCCTTTATAGGAATTACAAGTATGTCACCCTGTAATTTGTCCCGCTATATAGATGTGCTGTCTATCGGTTGACCGAGCAAAAATTATACCTACGTTGTTATGTTTCGTACGTCTTCGATCGCGAAACGCAAACTTTCCTTTGATTCACAAGCGTAACAAACTCGTTCGCTGACTAACCATTCCACAAACGCAAATATTTGCGAATAGAAACACCTTTTGGGAAATGGAAGCACGCTCGAACGAGAACAATTATTCTAGTCGATTTTGCGTTTACCGCAGAATGCGGTTCCGCATTTCTGTTCACTCGAGTTCGGTAACTAGCAAACGAAAACTGATTACCCGAACTTCTACCAAGCAGCCGGTCATTAGGAGGTAGTTGCATAAGTCAAAATGGGATATCTCGAGAACGATATAGCAGATAGAGACTGAATTTTCCCGTTGAAACGAGCTAAAACGATGCCTGGTCGTGTCGAGACGACTCGCTTGAATCGGTCGCATTCCTATCCGAGGAGAGAGATGATGCCACATTGAATTATCGTGCCAGGCACACACCCATAAATGCAAAGCATTCTCGGATGACATCTGCAATGCGAGAGCAACACGTGTGCCTTGCCAGTGCGTGTCTCGAGTCGTCGAGATTCCCAGACTTTTTGGTCCCGAAAGGGAACGTTCTCGACCGCGTCCGTGTATATAATTGCGCCGAGATTTCTACTCTGTCGAGGAGAGAACCGGTCACTTTCTTCGTTCCGCAAACAGCCTCGCGATACTACCCGAGGGGGAAAAAAGGCTTCTAATCACGGTCGATACGTAATTGGATTAATTGCACAGGCGAATCGAAGGTATAATTTTCGTAAACGAAACTCGGTAACTGGAGGAGAACGGTAAATCGGTATTGGAATCGAAAGTGTTGAAGATTGAGTCATTAGTAGTAGCTTCCTAGTTGCGTTTTGGATGCGATTTGGATGTAGTTATAAATCGGCCACGGTCTCCTCTGAATCGGAAAGCCGCCGGAAGCTAAGAATTAAATGCTGGAACGATTCTTTGTGTTATTTGATGTATTCACCACGCGAAATGACCTATTATATTCAAATCAAAAGATCTTGCTACGTTGTAACGCGGACTCGTAATATAATTCTCACAATCAATAAGAACGAACGATCATAATATTGGCATCGATGCTTTCGTCTGAGAGAAATCAAAATAATATATTTTTCTGATAAATAATTCAATGATCGCCGCAAGGTGGATGTGAATTAACAACGAAAAAAATATGTAATGTCTGCTCAAAATGCTTCGAAGTAGAGATTGCATTGTCACGAACCGATATATTTCTTTTTTCGGGATTTTTGCGCAAATATGTAGTTCAATGGGCTCGAGAAAATCCAATTTCCTCTTAAAACTCGATGAAGCTTGAAGGATCACATTTGAATGCACTTTGATCGATTGAAAAGTTTCTTTGCGTGATAAAATAATCGCGTAATTGGTGACGTTTTATAGTTAAAGATATTTTCCAGACTAGAAATCAAAGTAAAGAAGATAACCAATACAGCGAAGAACTGTATCATAACTGAATCAATAACAGTGAAAAATTTTCAAGAATGTAAATTGTTATAACATCTGTGTAAAAAAAAGGAAACATGTAACAATCTGCTCGATATTTCAAAGCAAAGTCTCTACTTTGACAATCTTGAGTTCGTTTCTTCAAAGATAATTTTATATCGTATAGCTGGTGGAAAAGTAAGGATTGTAACATCTTTAAAGCATCTTTAAAAACACTGAAAATTTTTTTGTAATTAGATCCATTATTACTTTAAAGATAATCTCTCCTTTACGGAGATTCCTTAAAACTTGCTATCATTTTACTAAGCTTTGAATATTACGATTAAACAACGAAAATTTAAGAAATCATTTCGTCATCTAACGCCGATTTTTAAAGTTCAATAAAATGAAAAGAATCGTACGGTAAGCTTTAAGGAAAGCTCGTTATAAAGAGGAGATTTCAATACCATGGTGGATTTATTCGTGAAAGAAATGCTTTAATATTTTTAAATACGTTTGAATTTATACAATTTCCGACAGAAAAATATTCTTGCATAAAATCATCTTCGAAAAAATTGAATTGAGAAATGTCAAAGTAGATTGTTATATAACTTTCTTTTACAAAATTACAACAGTATAAATTATAAACAATTTTTTATTATTATTAACTCCACTGTTATGTAAATTTGATGTTATTAAATAGTATCAAACTTTCATATTGATAACTGATAAGATAACTTTGATAAAATTTAGTATCACTGTTCATTACTTTATTATTAAATACATTACGTATTTGTTTATTACGTACAGAAACTACGAATTTCGTAATTACTAAATTTTTTTTATTCCATCATCCATTTAGAATGTTTCGATAAAATTGGCGCTACTGAACTACTAATTTCGTAATTACTAAATATTTTATTTATTAATAATTTTATTTCATCATCTATTTAAAATGTTTCGATAATTTCGTTGAGTAATGGAAGGAAGTGGCAATCAAAGTCGTAGCCGAAGATAGTGAGGTCTCTCGTGTACTTGCATCGCCTCTTTGACACGGTACGATGGTTAAGGTAATTAGCTTTGAACGCAAGACTGACAACCATGATAGCCAATTGAATAAATGCAAAATTCGATTCTTTGTAATAGAAGGGAACGTGTTGGCCTCCATCTGGCAAAACAATTCGCGTTTGTTCCCGTCTAATGTTCCTGCATATAAATACCGACGATACACAATTGTTATTCTTCGAATATCACAATTGTATTCAAGTACAATTTGTATTTCAATTTCGAAATTGGCGTAGATAGGAAACAAAAAAATAACTTTCCTTAAATAACTGAGAAGCTATGATGTTCTCATCAAGTTTTTCTATGATTCTTCCATGTTCGCGTATCTATCTCTTCGAGAATATATTTTTTCCCGTGTTTCACGAAAGACGAGAAGATCGTTGCTGCACGGAATCGAGTAAAAAACGGAATGTGTCCACTTTCAAGAGGAATCCATCGCGTCGTCCTTGAGAGAAGCCTATGACCCGTAGATTCCATTATGCCGATTCAACCCTGTTCAACAGTTTCGCAGCATCGCAGGGCGTGTTCGATGAGGAAAAGGATGGCCGATACTCTATAGTGAACATGATCGTATTTCCAGCATCCACGAAGATTCTGTAGTTGTTTCTTCTTCTTCCTTTTTTTTTCTTTTTTTTTTTTTTTGAGCGGTAGATCTGTTGAATGAGAGATCCGATGGAATGCGCCATAGAAGGTAGCAAGCGGCACGTTGGATAGTCTACAAACGATCGATATCGCTTGGAACACAGCGTTCTTTACGTGTTTCACGGCGACGCGACGCTTTCAATTATCGACGATGCTGGAATTTATAAACGCGAAGCAGTAAGAAACGATGACCCTCGTCGAGATTTTTCCTGAACGAACATCGAGATCTCGTATACCTGTTGCTCGATTTGCATGCTTCGGTGTCGTTTCACTTTGACGTTTCGGATTCTTCGGACTGCCTCTTAACCACTTGCGCTGGCAACTCGATTCGCGGATCGTAACGAGTGACCAAACCAAAAGTATATAATAATTCGTCGCTTTCTTTTTGAACTTGTCGGTATGATATCACTGGACAGAAATTATCGGGAAGTAATAAATTTGTTATTTGTCCTGACTATTTTGTTTTACTTACGTGTACTTAAAACTGAGAAAATATTACAATTTTGAGACAAAAAATTCTCGTGGCACGTCATTCCAGCGCAAGAGGTCAAATTACTATGAAGAGAAAGGCGAATGTTAGAGGCATCGGGGGAATGTTTCTCAAAATTATTTTGTACTTTCGTTCCTTTCATATTTGTCGAGTAACTCGAGTAATTTCCTCTGTTTTAGTAGTTTTTGATCAGTTGCTAGAAAATTGTCTGCTCCTCTGTAATATCTTAAAGAATTCGACCATACTTTTCGATTTAGATTCTACGTTCAGATCATTTCCCAGGCGAGCTTTGAACCGGTAGAGGATCGAGAAAGAGAGGATCATTTGTTCCGCAAATGGTGTGTAAGCATCTCGCGGAAGGGCGAAGAGCGTTCGACAAGAAATTTAGTTCGTGGAATCGCTTCGAGATCTATTCCCGACGACACACGCAAAAAGTATTATGTTAATGCCGCTTTGACGCAATCACGTTCTAGTGAATTTATCGCCGGGCATCGCGTCGGTTTATTGCAAACACAACGCTTCCGAAGAAGCGCATGTGCTATCTGCGGAGAGCAATTCGATTGCCAACGCGTTGTTTCCCATCGTCCATCTGTTCCACTTGCTTTCAAGCCTAAGTAATTTCTTCGGGATGCAGAGTAGAATACGGGTGTAATGACTTTCTCTCGCGATCTTTCGAAATAACTTCAGTCGATTTTTGTTAAAAACCTATATTAGTATTAGTTTGCAATCTATGAACTTAGAAGATCTGTCTCAAAAGTGACCGAGCTTTTCGAAAATAAAAAAATCTTCAATTTTTTTTTTTTTTTTTTTGCGAAAAATGTACTTTGTTCGAAATTCATTCTACAGTGATAGAATCATTTGAATTATTGAATAGTTTCTTCGTGAATATTGGGACTGCTCGTCACAGCTTCTTGAATATCAGATATGCTATTAAAACGTTCTCGTTGAGAACTGATTTCAATGATTTTTATGATTACAAAAGAATATAATTCTGAATTTCTCTATGCCTATATATGTAATAATGTTACGTGCTTCTATTTTTCGAGACATTTAATATTTATTCTTTCTTTTAATGGCATAAATCTATATTTGTTTTCAAGCATTTTGTCGTCGTAAGTACATAAATTCTATTATTATATATCTAAAATTTTTTAAAATTACGACATGCGACGTTTTCCCTTACCTAATCCTAGACATAGGCTGCTCAGCCTTAGTTTCCAAAATATTTGCAAAAATATTAACTTGTTATTAATTTCTTCGTTTTTAAACGTTCAATTATTTTCGAGACAAATTATCTCTCATTCTGTTACATTGACTGCATTCTCTCTAAATACAATGAGCAAGTTATTTCTGAACTATCAGTGATCAAAAGTTAGAAAATGATCTATCAATGGTCAAACAAGTTTTCAACAAGCAATTAACACATGGTTATTCTATGAAAGCTATGAAAGACAGCTAGTATGTCATATCTGTAAATCTTATTGCGCTTAATGTATTTCCGCATTACGTTAACAACCTACTCGCGATCACGCGTGCGTGGGTATCCTTAAACCTGAAACGATCTACGCGAGAGATACATACTTTTACGTACTTCCTTCCTACCGGAGAGCAATGTTTCCAGTCACACGTTACGCGAAAGCAGAGTCTCTAGATCTTGCAGAGTGCAACGCCGTAGTAAATTCAAATCAATAGGAAACGAAAAGTTAAATCCCAACGTTCGTAACGTTCTAAAGTTGAATCCTTGGAAATTGCACGGTGATTTCGCGTATACTGTACATTTTGCTTTCGTACCGATTACAAATCACATCGCGTGCCACCAATGGATACGTGATTGCACTAAATCGGGTCGTTTTGTACAGTTATAACGTAACGCTTTCGAGATCACATGACTTGGATTATGCCTGTGTTATCAAGCAGCAAGAGAGAACGCCAGAGAAAAAGAAAAATATGCTTATAAAAAGATAAGACGCGGAATTGCGTTCTGCATAACGCCAAGCTGTATTTTATAATCATCTCTCTGATATAGTTGAACAGCAAATTTTATTACGTGCGGGATAAACGCAGAAACAAGTGGTTGTTTGCGAGTTTATCAGGGTTCGCGTACTACTTTCGACCGAGTTGACTCTCGCAGGTGATTTTCGCAAGTGTTGCGTTTAATTCATTTGTATTCTTTCGTAAAATCATTTTTTTATTCTTTGAGCATTTATTTCCATTTCACCTTTATCGGACGAAAAATAAAATTGGAAAGAATTGGGATAACTGTGGAATAAATAACTGTCAATGCTTTTCATCTGTTCATCAAGTGGATCTTTCTTCAAGAATGACGCTCACAATCATGATATTATTTGAATCTATATTTATTAATTTGACGAAAGTCTACGTGGTTGAAAAGTTTCATAGAAAATTGTGATTTACACATGTATCTAATTTAATTCTGCTGCTTTATTTAAGTCTATATGATCTGATATCAGTATTATCTCTTTTAGTGTTGATAAACGAAACAACTCTAAGCGAAAAATACCGAATTAAACTGGTGTAATTTGAAAAATAAGTGACAAAAATTTTAAACGACGAGTATGAGATGTAGAAAGGAATATGTTATAAAATGTAGAATCACTATTTCAAAAGATGAATAAATAACAATTCCATGATATATAGCATCTAACAAATGAAGATTTTTAAGCATAGTGACTCACGTATAACGATATATATGTTCAGTATTACATTTATATGTAATAAATATTATAATTTTATATTCCATGCTTCAATACATATTACCAAAATATATATACATACTTTTTAAATATTTGATTTCATATTCAGTATAGTCTCACGACTTTCAAATAAAACATTCCAAAAGAAAGAAAGATACTTAAACAGATTGAAAATGATGTAACAACGATCTGAGGAGAACAGCAGAGTTGAACAAGATAATTAACTTGACGTTTCGTCGGAAAATTCGTGTTACTAGCACCAACGAAATTTGCAGACTTAACCACTTGCGCTGGCGGACCATAACGAGTGACCAAACCGTATACAATAATTCGTCGCTTTCTTTTTAAACTCGGGGCTGGAATAATATCACTGGATAGAAATTACCAAGAAGTAATAAATTTATTATTTGTTTTGCCTGGGTTATATACTTAAATATACCGAAAACTAAGAAGATATTGCAATTTTGGGACAAAAGATTCTCGACATGCGTGGCACGTTATTCCAGCGCAAGAGGTTAATAAAGGAACTTGTCAAGATACAATATGTTTGGCACCTAACCCAAAGCGAAGAAACCCTAGCCACCGGTATATTACTACCTTGATTTTTCATAAAGGGAACCGCGTTATTTGCGCGACACGTTCGTCACGGCGGATAGACTTTCGTCCAACGAGGAACGTGACCGTTCGAGAGAGCCCGCCGCGTAAACTCGACGAATCCAGCACCGAACTGGCTGACCTCCTTCGCGTTTTTACACCGGAGACTCACGTGTGCGTGCCGGGCAGGCGGTCGCGTGTCACGCCTTATCGCGTCTCCTCTTGTTTCGTGTTCACGTGCTGGTCTCGCGCGTGAACGCACCGCGAGTGTTAATCTGGAACGAATTCAGGGATGCTGGGTGTCGCAAGCGACTTTCGAGGAAGTCGAACGTGATTGGAAAATTCGTTGAACACGGAGACTGAATAATCATCGTCGATGCCTGCGTGACAAATCATTCTGCATTCTCACAGCAATGAGGAACTGTCTGTGTAAACCGTAGTGCAAACAATTTGACGACGTCCTTGTTGACAGATTATTATCTGAATATAGTTCTCCTTATCGTGACAACAGTGAAATATGGCGGGTATGTAAAAAATATGCGCGTCACGTAAACTTTAAGATTGCACGAGGTTTGCTCAGCGAACGATAAACGGTTTAAATGGCACGCATGCTCCCGGTCGTACGATGATGTTTGTGAAGAATAAATCGACGGCCCGCTAGGTGAATAGATAATTTCCTAGTCACGTGTGAAAGTACCTTAGGAATCCAGTGCCCGAGCCGGTCCCCTGACCTTTCCTGCCGCTGGTTCTGACTGTTCGAGCCAAGCATAAGAGCCACGGGAATGGTACAGTGCGCGATGTTAATGATTGTTCGAGGCTCGCAAATACTGGTTGAACTGGCGCGTATATATAATCTGAATATCGCAATAATTTGATAAATACGATATGTCACCGCTACGTATTCGAGTTCGCGGGGATATTTTTTTTTTTTTACGCGAAACGTTTGATACAAGCGTTCGGCACGAACTCGGTCGATTTGTACGACCGTCGATCGCACGTACTGTGTATATGCAAAGTTAGTTTACAGCGGCATCTCGACGACCATCCAACTTCGCGATTTAATGCCGAGTCTTGAATAAGGTCAAGACCTGGTTACATACTCTCGATCGTCTTCCCAATCGATTTTCACGTAAAAGTCGAAAATGCGCTTAAACGAAACAATCGATTCTGCGCGCTTTTTCTTGACTTTATGGTATTTCCTGCGCCGTTATTAACCTCTTGCGCTGGCAACTGGTTCGCGGACCATAACGAGTGACCGAATCGTATACAATAATTCGTCGCTTTCTTTTTCTTTTGGACTCGTCGGTATGATATCAAATGGATCGAAATTATTAAGAAGTAATAAACTTCATCATTTGTTTTGCCTGAGTTACATTTAAATATACTGAAAACTGAGAAAATGTTGCAATTTGGGACCAAAAAATTCTCGACGTGCGTGGCACGTCATTCCAGCGCAAGAGGTTAAGATAACGTCTTCGTGAAATCCTTTCGCGAGCGGCCACGTAGCCACGTTTTATTGCTCCTTTCATCGTCATCATCATCATCATCATCATCATCATCATCATCATCATCATCATCATCATCATCATCGTCTTCATCTTCATCCTACTCGGCAAAAACAAGCCTGCAGGAAAATCAAATGATCATCTACTACGAAAGCAGCGGTTGTAACATCTGACTGAAAATATGGTTGCGTTTCTTTCTCGACGCAGGATGACGAGCCACCGGAAATCACGTATTGCGTTGTGGAGCACACGGGTACGCTCACGCTTCAAGCGATGACGCCCACCCTGCCGATGCCTGCCGAGGAGGAACTGAACAAGATGTTCCTCGAATTGGTCGACGAGCTGGACCTGACCCAGGCCAACCGGCAGGCGGTTCTGGCACTTCCGGCGAACAAAAAGTGGCAGATATATTGCTCCAGGAAAGGTAACGGCACGCTCGAGAATGGCGGATTACGAACTACAGACCTGAGCGGGGATCCCGAGGATTACATCAATAGGCTGAGAACAATAGCCAATGTGAGTGTGATTTTTATGATTTTTCGCGTGTAAATGTCTCGCACGTGTCGGTATCTCAACGATTTTGTTCGTTTCAGAGCCCTTTCCCCGAAGAGGGTGAGGAAGTTTCGAACCAGATGCGACAAACCGAAGCCTTAAAGACTGCTCTGAGGACCCAGCCGCACAGCTTCGTCCTCAGGTTCATAGAACTCGACGGACTGAACGCCCTGTTGCAAGTTCTTGGAACTATGGACGCGGAGGCAGCCAACAGCAACCTCCATACAAGCGTGATAGGATGTTTAAAGGCGTTGATGAACAATTCGGTAAGATCAGATCGTGATCGATCGCTAGGCAACTTATCACCTCAAACGAGTTCTATCGCGATTCTAATCGTCTTTGCAGAATGGAAGAGCACACGTATTGGCTCACCCTACTGCCATCAATACGATATCTCAGTCGCTGGCGACTGAAAATATCAAGACAAAGATATCCGTTCTGGAAATCCTGGGTGCCGTTTGCTTGGTTCCAGGTGGTCATCGAAAAGTCTTGGAAGCGATGCTACATTTCCAGCAGTATCATTCCGAACGAACGCGTTTCCAGAGTATCATAAACGACCTGGACAAAAACTTCGGCATCTACAAGGACAATCTGTCCCTGAAAACGGCGATAATGTCATTTATCAACGCGGTGTTGAATTACGGGCCTGGCCAGGTGACTTTGGAGTTTAGGTTGCATCTGAGATACGAGTTACTGATGCTTGGCATTCAGCCGATCATCGAAAAGCTGAGGAAGTACGAGAACGAAACGTTAGACAGGCATTTAGACTTTTTCGAAATGGTGAGGAACGAGGACGAGAAAGAATTGGCGAGGAAGTTCGAGAAGGAGCACGTAGACACGAAGAGCGCTACGGCGATGTTCGATCTGTTGAGGAGGAAACTCAGTCACACCGCTGCGTACCCTCACTTGTTGAGTCTTTTGGAACACTGTCTTTTACTACCTCGTGAGATATCATCATTTTATCTACTCATAAATAGCAGTTTGAAGGGAGAATCTTGATCTGTCATTCTTTTCTCCTTTTTTATTTTTTCACTGCTTTCAGTCGATTATGGTTCCCATCCCCAACACTGGCTGCTATTCGATCGGATCGTGCAACAAATCGTTCTCCAGTCGGAAGGAAATGACACTGGTGTCACGAGGAATCCCGACGTCATGCCGATTGAGATCAACGTGAAGGAAATTGTTCACTTGCTCGCAAAGGAGGAAGAACTCGTCGCAGCTAGGAAGAAGGCCGAAGAGTTGGAGCGAGAAAACTCCGATATGTCGAGCAGATTGGCCAAGAAGGAACAAGAGTTAGATCTGAGAACGCAGGAGAAAGTAATTTATCACGATGTCTTGTCAAATTGAGATCGGTTGCCCGTTCTTGTTCTCATCCACGACCTCACCTATCTTTCTAGGAAGACATAGAAGCTAGTTTGGCAAGGGTGAAAGAACGCCTCGAGAAAGAGACGTCGATGCACATAGAAACGAAGCAGAGGATTTCGGAATTGCAAGACAACCTCGAGACGCTATCGCGACAGATAAACAACGAAAAGTCGGAGAGAAAGAGGCTGGAACAATTGGTGGCTTCTGGTAGTTTACCGGACGACGCGAAAGCGACGATTAAAATTGTCGAGGACGAGGTACTTGAGAAAGTTGAATCGAAACCAATGCCACCGCCGCCACCGCCTCCACCATTGGCACCACCACCACCTCCTTGTTTGATGCCCGCAGCTCCTCCTCCAATGAAGGTAAGATGGTCCTCAATTTCTAAAAATTATGGTCCGCAATCTCTATCAATTACCGCTGAATCTCGACTAATACGACTAATTAAACGCACCCAGGTGGAGATAATAAAAAATGTTCCTCAACCAAGCAATCCCTTGAAGTCCTTCAACTGGTCGAAGATTCCGGAACAGAAATTGCAAGGCACTATATGGTCAGAACTCGACGATACGAAATTATACAACGTTATGGATCTGGAGTCGATCGATAAAATTTTCTGCGCTTATCAAAAGAACGGTGTGTCCGCGGAGGGTTCGATCGAAGACCTCCGGACTTTGGGAAAGAACAAGAAGACCATGTCGGTGATTGATTCCAGAAGAGCTCAGAACTGCACGATTTTGTTATCAAAATTGAAATTGTCCGACAACGAGATCACTAGAACCATCCTTTCAATGGACCAACAGAATATTCTACATATAGACATGGTTGAGCAACTACTGAAATACATCCCATCGTCGGAAGAGGCTGCTCTCTTAGACATACATCAGAAAGAGCTTCAAAGCAGAGCTGATTGTTTCTTATACCAAATATCCAAGTACGTAGCACCATAGTTTTCCTCTAGTGCTTCAGAAATAAAATTTTCCATTGCCGCATAGCAAATATTTAATGGATAACCGATAACGAACGAAAAAAAAAAA